GCTTCCCTGGCGGCGTGCCCACCAGCGGGGCCGCCCCCAGCCTGTACTGGTTGTGGTGACAGATGCACTGGAGACCTGTGTCCTAGAGCAGACACCGAGTCCCTTCTGAGTCCCTGCTTTTAGCTAGAGAGACTCCCTCAAGACATGTGGGGTCTCCTGACATAATGTTTCATGGGCTGTTTGGGTGCTGGGCATCTTCTGACCTTGGGCAGGATGACCTGGCTGTTCTCTGGCCCCAAGGGTGTCAGGACTTTCCTCACTGCTGCTGCTTTTCTTTCCCCCAGGCCTGAAGCTGCCAACGAGTTCTATGACGGTGACCACGATAACGACAAGGAGAGCGACGTGGAGATCTGAGGGCTCTGCTGAGGGGCTTTGGACTCTGGTGGGGGCCCACCTTGGACCTTGGTGCAGTTCCTGGGGTGGTGTAGGAGCCAGTTAGCCCTCCCTTCGTGTTTGATTGCTTGTGGTGGCAGCAGAGACAGCACCACTGCAGGCTTCTGCTCCTGGAGAGGCAGAGAGCAGGGAAATCGGTTCCTTATTGCCCACCGTGTGTCACGGTTCAGGTTTCAGCTCCCTGGGAAATGGAAGTTCAAGGAGAGCTGATATTGTGCTATGTACTGGCTGGTGACTGCCAGCAGGGCCTGACCAAAGTTGGGGCAGTCACTCCTGGAGCTCCCTTGCAAGCTTCTGCCAGCAGGCTTGGAGCTGGAGCAGCCATGCCTACCATCTCTGCCTCTCCTCAGCAGCAACCCTGGACACACCCTGCCCCCCCAGCCCTCTACTCAGGTACCCAGTGGATTGTCCTCTGAACCCTGCACTGAGGGTTGCTTCCCAATGTCTCTTCTAACCATCTGATGCTCCACAGCTCCAGGAAAACCATTTGAGAAGACAAGACCAGCTGTGGGATGGGTGTTGTGAGTGTCCTGGGAGCAGCTTGGGGGGGCAGGTTGGAAGAAAGTTCCCAGAGCAGAATCTTGATTATTCCCCTTCTACTCAATTTTGTGTTCACAAACAAGTACTGCAGCCCTTCCCAAGCTGGACCTAACTTCCCTGTTCCCTTTATTTTTGGAGAGGCTAAAAATCACTGTGGAGCAGAGGTTTGGCTGCCAAGGCCAGTACATAGTGTGTCTTGCACCTCTTGTAGCTTCCAGCTGTGTTTTCCAAGTGCACACGTGGCCCCTCTGTTTGTTAGCAAGAGCTCTGGGCTGCTCCCTCCAGGTGGGAACCTTTCCCTCTTGACATGCCCAGGAGACATCTCTGCCCATGGTGAGGGAAGCTGCTTCCTCCACGTCCTGTCTTGCCCTCAGACAGCAGAGATTCCTCTTGGCCATCCCTCAAATCCCAAACTTTGCTGCTCCTTCTCCTGAGTCATCACCTGGTACCTGTTGTGGTTTGGGGAGGCAGGAGGGGTTGAGCCTCTCTCTGTACTGTTCTGTTTGTTTACTGATGTCTTTAAACATTAAAAGAAGAGGCAGTTATTTTTCTTACCTGACCTGTTGTTTGTCTTGTTTCATGCTCACACCTCAAGGTGGATTTGTTTTGGGGGTTGGTTTTTGGGGAGGGTTTTGGGGGGTGGTTTTTTGAACTAGCTAGGAACCAAGTTCAGGCTGTAAAGATTGATTTGATTTCTCTGTCTTCCTTACAGTTGTGCTTTTGCACTGCTGCAGAGCTGACAAGCAGTGAGCTCTGACCTTGCTGGAGCTGTGTTAGACAAACCTATCCCTGGCATCCACCTGGCATGGGTGCCTGGTGCCAGGATAGGACCAGGGGGAGCTGGAACCCCTTGCACCCACCCAGGTACCCCAGCCAGGCCAGCAAACCTGCACTCCTGGCATTTCAGAACACACAGGTAGAATCCAAGAATTATTTTGGTTGGGAAAGGCTTTTAGGATTGAGTCCAACCAGTCCCCCAGCCCTGCCAAGGCCACCACTAACCCAAGTTCCTCAGCACCACATCTACAAGGCTTTGAAATCTCACTGGTTCTACCCCCTCTCCTTCCTCCTGGGTCATCAGGTGGATGTTGGAGCCCTCACCCCTTGTCTCTCTGCTCTCTTGAACATCTCTCTATCTTGTTAAACATTTGTGGAGCTGTGTCCCCCTTTGCAGCTGAGGCAGGGGAGCAGCAGGACCTGGGCACAGTGTGGGCATCACCTGGGGAGGGGCAGAGTTCCTGCCCACCCTGCCTGCATCTCCGGGCCCTGCAGGGTCCTGGCAGTGCCAAGGGGGGAGGTCTGGGGGTGCCTGTGCCTTCAGGACTCAGTAGCTGTAGCTTCTCTTTTCCTCCAGCACCCACATGGGCTGTGCCAACCCAGGCTGAGGAGCAGAGTGACCAGGGCCAGAACCTCTCTTGCTTCCTTCCAGAACCTCTTCTCTCTTCAGGAATATTCTTGGGGGGGGAAAAAAAATGGAAGGTCTGGCCACAAAGCTGGGAGCTGATAAATCCTGGATCCCAAGTGTCTGCTGAGGAGAATGGATGCAGGAACTCACCAGGTGTCCTTCCAGTGTCACAGAATGGTTTGGATTCTGAGGTTTCTCTGGAGTTCTCAGGTCCTGCCCCAAGCAGGCCTAACCTGAAAGTTGGAGACTTCTCAGGGCCTTTTGGATTCCTTTTTCTTGAGTCTCTTGTAGCACAGGAACTCCCCCAGCTCTCTAGACCTACCTGGGCTCCTTCTCTGGTGTTCAACCACCCTCGTGGAAACAATTCTCCTTCCACCAAGGCAGGATTTCCCTTGTTGGAGCTGCTGGCTGTGGCTTCTTCATGCTTTCCCTCCTCTTGCTTCCTCATTTCTCCTGGCATGGTGCTTGGGAGGACACACCAACAGCACCAGTGAACTTTGGTGGGACTTTGGGACCAGTTCTGGTGGGAAACTGGGTGTTCTTTTGCTTTTTGAAGGACACCAACCTGTTTGGAGAGCTTGCTCCCTGGCTCTTCTAAGTGCTTCATCCCTGCAGAAGAGGATCCACTCCCTGCTGTGCCCCAGGGTTGTCCCCTTGTGCCTGAGGAGCTGCTGGTGTCCCCTGCTGTGCCCCAGGGTTGTCCCCTTGTGCC